CCTGAGCCTCTGGCCTGTACCCCAGTTCTGTATGCACAAATAAATAAATCTTAAAAAAAAAACAAAACAAAAACTCTTTAAAAATTAATATTAAAAACTTGTTATATATTACATTTTCAGATTATTGTGTTTCCTTTTATGTCTTCTCAAGCTTAAGTGATCATTTCTATGTGCACTCTAATTTTTGATTGTGAGTTTACCTTCAGCTGGAGCTGTATTTTCCTCATGCTCCATAGGAGTACTAGTCACCCAGACATGGGTGAAGATTCCTAAAGAGACTTTTTGTTTGTTTCCATTTGGTCTAGAGCTTTATTTATTTATTTTTATAAAATTAATTTCTTGCTCTAGGATTCCTGTACCACACAGGTAACATACATTTGTTCTTTATAGCTGTGTCTGGTAGAGGTTTAGGATTTTGACTTTTTTTATGAGACTTTTTTCTCCCCTCCCGTACATAGCTCTGAAAAGTGAAAAGTTGTTTTTTTTTTTTTTTTTGCCTTCCTGACCTGGGGACAGTTTTTCTGGTTCCCACTTCTCTTGCCCCAAGGCCACATCTCTGCCCAAGTGTGTGACTAAAACCCCAGCAACTAGCTATTAGAGTCTACATCTGGTTCCAATATTCCCCCCTGGGCAACAGTAGTATCAGTTTGCCCACTTAATGCTCTGGCTATGTCTCCCTTTTGTTTTTGGTGACTAGGAATTTTCTTTTCTTACTTTCTTACCTTCTTCTCTTTCTCTTAAGTTTAGCTGAGTATTTAAATTGGGCTAGACCATATTTTATTCAGCATTTCTATTTACTATAGGAGAAGGCAGTTCTGTGTTAGCTCAGCCCATGTTACCAGAACAGGAAGTAGCACATTCATTTCTCATGCGCTTGAATCCTCCTGAATAAACAAAATTTGAATAGGTGGCTGGATAATTTTAGTGACATAAAACTGACTAAAAAGGACACAAGGAATTTAAAAATTTCAGTTTTTGTAAGCACAAAAGTGTACTACTTTTACTTATAAATCCCAGTATGCACTGGATAATTCATAAGTAATATGACACAATTTGAGGATTTGTCATTGACTGAAATTTCTATGAAACATATTCTAAATAAATAGAAATGAAAAATGGGAGTGGGGAGAGAACCAGCTGAGAAACTATGTAACAGACACCATGTTAAGGTGCTTTTAAATTCATGAAAATAATATTCATAAACCTATTTTCCAAATCAGGAAAAAGGACCGAACAACACTATCACTGGAATATAGTAAAGCTGGGGTTTGAGTCTCTGTGGTACTAAGGGCTCAACTGTGGCCTACTGCCTTCAGTTAAGACTTCACTTCAAATAGAAGTCAAGGAGATATAATACACAGCATGCTGACTATAGTCAATAATGGGGTGTTGCCAATTTGAAAGTAGCTATAAAAAACATGATATAAAGCCTGTGTGACAGCCATTTTGCAATGCACAGAAATGTTGAAGCAACTAAAATAATGTTACATGTCACTTGTACTTCAAACAACAATCAACTTCAATTAAGAAAAAAAAAGTGTAGTGTCTATTCTTAATGATATGAAAGATATTATAATATAGGCTTTTCATTCTATAAAATAAATTGAAGGGTAAGTAAACAATATATGAAAATAGTATTGCAAAAAGCCATTGATTATAAGTGTCAAATTGTCCTACATCAATGTAACTATCAGATTATTAGAGCGTCAGAACTAGAAGTTATCTTGAGGATTTTCTCATCTACTTCCACAGTTTCTAGATGAGGTAACTGAAGTCTAGGAAAGTGATGTCCCCTGTGGATTAGGAGCATAGCCTAGGCTAAAACTTGTGTTTTCATTCTTAGTTTTGGTGACAATCTACAGAAAGACTGGTAAGAATACATTTTTTTTGTTGTTGTTGCTGCATTTTATGAAGAATGCCTCTAGCTGTTCCCTGAGAGCTAGTTTTACTAACTTTATTCTTGCTCCACTAATCTGTTTCTCAGAAGCTTTTTTGTTTCAAACACAAAGGATGATGACTTTAATTATTGGTTACTTAGCTAAAGACCAATGGTGTTCATCCACAAATCTCATTTTATAGGTAAAAGGGCTCATACCTCTACTGTCTCAGGACAGGGCTCCCAGTAACTGCACATTCATTTCTCAAAAAGAGTTTAGCAAGTGAGTATTATGTGTAAGAAACAGTAAGTCAAGTCTGCTATAAATGATTTTAAGTTGATTTGGATACCACAGTGAAAACTTTTTATAAATTTAGGCAATGTGTTAGTGATACTAGTAAATGACATAATAATAATAATAAAAAGGAAACATTTTAGTGGATATAACAAAAATCAGTGCTATTGAAATCTAGTTGTATCTCATGATATTTCTGAAAGCTACAAAGTATGTTTTGTCAAATTTTAGAGGCACCTGATCTTTAATCTAGGAAAACTGCTGTACTTGAAAATATCTAACATGATGGCTGACATTTCAAGTATTCACTGCATGCCAGACTCTAGTACCTTAAATTGGCTGGTTAATCCTCATAACCCACTACCTTATGAGGAAGGTATTACTTCCATTTGCAGATAAAGACACTCAGGCAATAAAAACTGATTTATCTCAGAGATAACAAACATGTGAATATAAACCCACTTGATCTGGATCTAAAGCACAGCTCCTAATCAGCTTGTTTATTTTTTGATTCACAAGAAAACTTAGAATAAAATATTTCAACTAATACAAAAAGGTCAGGTCATCAACTGGCTGTATCCTAATGACATAAAATCCTATCCCCCCAATCTTCCCAGATCATAATATAAGGGAAGGAAAGTTCATAAAACAATGGGTTTACACAAATAATTTCCACCTAGGAAGAATAGTAAATGACATATTCTTGATTATCCTTACTGAATTATAATTTTTCTTTACTTGAATCTTTAAAACATTCTGTAACTATAAACTACACTAAGTAGTTTCCTTCTTACCAGTAGGGAATACATTGCAAGACCCCAAGGGGATGCCTAAAGCATAGATAGCACTAAATTCCTAAGTGTGCTTTTTCCTATAGTGTGATAATTAAGTTTACAAATTAGTCATATTAAGAAATGAATAATAACTAAGAAAAAAGCACACAATTATAACATTTTGCTATAAAAGTTATGTGAATGTGATCTTACTCTCAAAACATCTTATTGCACGTAATATTTTTGGATCTTGATTGACCACAGTAACTGAAACTGCAGAAAGTGAAGTTTCTTACTGGAGAGAGGGCAGCTATTACATATCACAACTGCATCTTTGTATTATAGCCCCATTAAGCAATAAACTCACAGGGCAAATTCACATGTGCCCTGTTTATGACCTACCATATGCCTTGTATGTAGTAGGTACTCAATAAATAGTAGCTAAATGGAAAAAAAAACAGACTGATCACTTTTGGGTTTTAAATTACAATAGTGTTTCGTTTCCTAATTGCTTTTGCTGAATAGAATGACTTCTTCAAAGGGCTGTACCTATCATTCAAATACATTTTCAACAGATAGTTGCCAACTGAATTGTAAAGAACTAGATAATTTCTGACAGTTACTAAACAGAGATGAGAGGAATAGGAGAAGTCAACTTTTAAGGCAGTTATCCCTAATTCAGTTTCCTTAGCACTGAGCCTTCTGGGTTGACTCCCTGTAAGAATTTGCTGATATTCATTAGGGCTTTACCATCTCTTTGAGAAGCTACTGAGGATAACGTACATATCCACTCCTCCTAAAAGATTGCCTGATTTTTTTTTTTAAAGAGTGTTACCAATAGGAATATTCTGTGACATTAAAATGAAAGCCACATAAAATATATTCTTTATTATAGTTTTTCATAATTATAACCCATAATATCTATTGATTCATCAGAGGTTAAATCTGTACTTCTCTTTAAAAAACTAGTTTCTAGTCAATGAAAATGCCAAGATGAAAACTTAACAGTAAAGAAATTAT